GCACAGTGCCTTAGTGCTCACTCCCCAGTTTTATCATTTTTTTTTTCAGGTCAGGACGTCGGGCCGGGAGCATGAGTGTGACGTGACGGGGACTTCAGGATATTTATATTTTGGACTGTATAAATATGATATTGACTTACGCTTCCGCTTACGATACTTTGATGACTTATGATGTTTGATATCTTTTGACGTTCTCGTTTGATGAACTTATTACTTTTGACGAGTTTTTAAGAAACTTATGAATTCAGTAACCGGACGTTTTTATTAAAACAACGGTTTTATAAGTTAAGTCACGATTTTTAACGGTAGCACCCCGAATCAGTTTTCGCAAAGTAAAAAGGTTTTATTTAAGTAACTTTGCGAATTTTAGCGCACTCTGATTTTTTTAGTAAGGAGGGGTGTTACAAGTGGTATCAGAGCACGTTTCTGCATCTCTGATAAAGTTTTTCAGTCAGTAATTTTTCAAAAAAAAAAAAAAAAACCTGAACCGTCATGCTCACGCCCCGCCGACGACAGGTAAGTGCTGATTCAGTTTTTCAGTTATAAACATATTACTTTGTCTATGCTCAGAATTGAGGATCAGGACTTTAGTTAAGATGCTCGAATAAGGATCAGACTTCAGAGTTCGGACATGACTCTAGAATTCAGGGCATTCAGATATGACTCTAGACATTAGGATCTTCCTATAAGACTCTAGAGTTCTTCAGGTTTCACGTCAGTAATTATCGGCCACTTTTGGCAACTCGTCAAGAGATCTGTGCGCCTTAGTAATCAGTCAGAATGCTATCACGTATTCAGTAATGTTAAAACTTTCTCAACGTTCAGAGGTCGCCCCGTGGGGAACCTGATTACCCGACTCTTACTCAAGCCACAGTAGTCGCACAGTTCTGTGACTATCATGTTGAGAAATTCTCCGGGTAGGGAATCCCTGTATTGGGGACGAGTGGATTCAGAACTTTAGAAAGAGGATTAAGTTTGGGAACTCTAGATTCAATTCTAGATTTATTCAAGCCAAGTTAGTAACTTGTCAGAAGA